CTCATACAAATAGAAATGTGGGACGTGAAGGAATGCTGGTCGTTCATTTGCTTGGCTAGTCAAGCATGAGCTATAGTTCATAGATCTTTGGACTTCGATTACAAAGGAAGATTGACTTGACAAATAAAGCCCGAGAATTGTTCGTTGCTCTCAGTTCATATGTATATGGTTACAATTATCTACGTTACCAGTATGCCTATGATGTAGCACCAGTCGGATTGTTAGCTAGTGTGTATCATCTTACGAGAAGTAAGTATGGTGTGGATCAACCGGAATAGGTATGCAAATCAGTCTTTGCCAAAGGGAGGAATCAAATCCTAGAATCCCTTCTGTTTTCTGGATTTTGAAAAGTGCAGATTTTCAAGAACGGGAATCTCTTATGAGTTTCATCCACGCCTGAAACGTATCTTGATGCCTGAAAGTTGGATCGGTTGGCCGCCCCTACGCAAGGAGATTCTATTGCCCCCAATTTCTATGAAATAAAGGATGCTCATTGAATGAATCTGAACTTATAACGACGTAAGATATTCCATAATATTATTACGTTATGTTTTCGATGAAACAGAGTAACTGGACTCTCAGTCATATTCTATTCTGGAAGAAAAAAGGGCTGAATTTCTCTTCCTAAATCTGGAAGATATCATATCTATTTGGGATGAGCAGAGCCGATAGGATGAATCAAAAGAGTTCCTAGCTTTTACCTGATTGATAGGCCTTTGTACCGCGCACATCATTTAGATGGGCCCCGGAAAGCAACGTAGGAAAGAGCTACATTTTTGTGAAAATAGGAAATGAAGAAATGAGAAAAGGGATCAGATTCGATTTGTACTGGATCTGAAATGAATCCTGTCTATTCCTATCCTAAAACCCCTCCACGACTAGACTTCTGGGTCTTTCAGCCAACTGACTTCGGATATGTATGGAGTATGCTAATGATTTTTGAGCGAGAGGAAAGGAATGTGGTGATCAGCTCGATCACTATGTAAGTCATTATATTATATATATCGAATTCTCTTTGATTCCCCAATTGTTCCTATTCATTAGGTAATTCTATCCTGTAAAGCCCCCCTATGGCGTGAAGAAAAGGGCAGACAGCCTTGAGGAAGATCATCCAAAAAAGAAGCCTTTGCTTTTTTGTTATTAATAGGAAAGGTCTACTATGTTAATTAAGGGGTGTGGTTCAGACAGCCTATATTATTGGTCACATTTGAGAAAATGAAGACGGAGGATGTCCAGTCAACCAACGAAGAGAGTATGGCATGGTATAGAATGGAATTGCTGTACCAGCCCTAAAGTGACCAGCGGAGATGACCAGCTGAAGAGTGACCAGAGGAGTCAGTAGATCCGGGTTTACCGTCCATTCCAGACTAAGAATAGGGATGACACTTTCTTGATGCTTTTTCATTTCATAGCGTAATTTAGTACCCAACATTTCAGGTGAGAAGAGTCAACCTACGAGACGCACCTTAGGTGTATTTATTATATAGCTTTCTTTTGATCTCTTTCTCCCCGTATCTTGCTGATGCATCCAAATAGGAACCAGATTGCGCCCTTCTTCGATTAGCAAAGCGGCCATCCAACTTGTAAAAGACAGTGCAAGCTTTAAGGTCCAATACAGTAGGGTCAAGCAAAGCAAGGGATTGAGCTGCAAGAGCTAGGCTTTCAAACGCATCCAAGTTTCTCGCTTCTTGCTTTAGTTTCTTTTTCATTCCGAAAGCGAAGGCAACTCTCTCGGAAGTGCAACTATTTGCCCGTCCTTGCAAAGTTCCCATTCCTTCTTCTAATTCGTATTTGAATCCAACACGACGAAATACATTCAACACGTCAAGTCTTCCTTCCCTTGGCTGCCTAGCCATTAGGTGTAGGTGAGAGGGGCCGTTAAGGCGAGTCAATTAGCTAATACCGCGGGCTTACTTTTCATATGTGGAGGCAACCTTACGTTAAGCACTGGGGCCGCCACAAAGGAAGAGTCTTATATGAAGATATACCATCTTTCAGCTGACCTTTCCCAACCATGCATCGAAATCACGCTAGAAAAAGACTAATCAAGTGCTGTCTGAATGCAATGGCTGACAGTAGAGTCGAACTCCCTACCGCCGCTGCCTTTAACAAGTTGTCCTTTAAGGCCTCGTCTCTAAAGCCTTTAAGACTGTAGCTATCCTCGTGAGGGTTGGTAAGAGCAAGAAGCGTACGAGTAAGATCGAGCAGGAGCAGGCTTTGCACCAGAGCCAGCAGCATAGATAGAGGCGTACCTGGCAGCATCTCGCTTGGCATCCCTTCCATATCTAGACCAAGATCCACCAAGAGCAGAGACAGGCCGAGCATTTGTCTTCAGCAACACTAGAAAGAGTAGTGTGCGTTCTACTAGTCAAACCAGACTACTAGGCCGAGGGACGAGTGCTTTCAGCGGATCTATGGTATCTGGCTTATCAAAGAATCGTTCCGTATGACCGGATTGAGGGTTGAAAACGCATCTTGGAGGTTTTATGAGAAATACTTCAATAAGAGCACTATAACGTGCGTTATAGCGCACTATCATAGCCAATGAAGAGAATTTAGCTAGACCGACCTCACAAGGAATAAGATCAGAGGATTGAGAGAAACTGGAATCCTTGTATGTAACACGCTCTATTGATTCTTCTTTTTTCTATTGGTACGTGTGGCTTTCAAAGAAGGAACGAAGTCCTGGCTTACTGATCGATTGAATGAAGATTGGACCTAGCGCCTAGCGAAAGAAAACCTGTTGACCCTGTTGAAGTTCGAACTTAAGCCTTTGTCGTCCCTTCAGTCCTCCTCTTTCTTTGATTCTACCATCGCATGTATTTCTATATAGAATGAATGAGAAGTCATTCCAGAAATGCTCCTTCTAAAGAGTCTGTTTTGCTCCCTTATTTATGGTTCGTTTCCAATCTCAGTTCAAAAGACAAGGTCATTGTTCAGCGAAATGTTCAGAAAACGGGAGGAATTGACCGGCTGGCTGATCGATATTCACAATTGTCATAAGGAAGGTAAAGCAGTCTCCAAATGAGTGAGACTTGGGGATGGCCGATGCTCGAGACGAAGTAGCAAGAATGTCTTCCATGCCAAACCCATAAGGGCCACGCGAACAAACTTGGATCCAGCTTCAAAATATAATTTCATACTCTAAGATGCTTCATAGCTCCAACAAGCGCGAAAGTCGTTGCGCTAGCGCGCATTTATTTGACTAATGACATATAAAGTCAAGGCTCTGGGCAACGGGTGGTAGGGAGCCTTGAGCATTGTACAAGTGCTTAAGGCCCCTTCGGGCCATGGCCGCAACTCTCATATAAGGCAATTGGAAGCAAGCTACCAGCGCCTATCGGCTAGAACTGGGCTTGGCTTGGTTAGTAGTAGTGCCCGCCCATTCTGTCTCGCCCGCCTAAACATTAATTCTTCAGAGCGGGCCGGCAGGCCGGGCGGACGGGGACCGTCGAAGAAGTGCCTCAACGCGCCGCAGCCACTACTTTGACTCCTTTTATGCAATTATGAACTCCACGGAACTTTCTCGATTCCAACGCAACTTCTCCTTTTGGAGCTGACGTAACAAACTACGCGAGCCTCCCAACGAAGCCAACATAAATCCTATCCGAATCAAAAAAAGAAAAGGCAGTTTCATTATGGTGGTATACCAGCCGCCTGTTCTGGAACTTCCAGTTCCAATCGGAGCATATAGATCCGTAAATGGATTTGTATGTATAGCCACTTCAGTCGTGCTCGTCGTTTCTCGAAAGTATCTTTTTTCTGGGAACATGGTCAACCAGAAATTCTTATGTTCGCGATTCTTCATCCACCGATGCAGAAAATGCATCCGTTTTCCATTCTCATATAAGGCCGGAAAGTGGATTGGCAACAGGTCGGCACGAAGTGATTCATCATGCTCAAACATGAGCCGATCGTTCGTTGGGGACGGTTTATAGATCATCAAATTCCCACAAATGGAATGAGAAGTGGGTCCATGTAAATGATCGAGACCTCGCAAACAACAACACTCCTTCCCCATATTGAGTTCGGAACCCACAGGCAATCGTTGAGTGAACTGTATCTTCTTTGTGTTAGTTGACCTAAGCCGCACCCTTACTGCTGGGGTGGGGCTCGGCCTCCGAACCGTACGTGGGACGAGTTTCTGCCTCATACAGCTCGGGCCGAAGACGGGGGGAAGTTTAGGAGAGATGGGGAGACCCCGCAGCTGCCGGTCGGGGCGGGGATAAGCTTGTGAAGAAGAAAGCCTATCCCCCCAAAAACCGACCCTATAGCGCTAGCGCTTCGCGTTCTTTCTATTCCATCCCATGTAATTCCGAGATAGGCGGCTAATACTAATCTAATAAGTAAAGTAGTCGTCGTCTGACCAATGGGCTCGGACACCAGACCCCTCGTGTGCCCGCCCATTCGCCCTAAATGGAATGGCTCTCTTAGTTACGCTGCGCCCCGACCCGAGTCCCCACGTCCGCTTTTCTCCGCCCGCAACCCCAGAAGTTGGCTTTGCCAACACAACATTAGGGCCGTACCCTTCATTCTATGCTGACCCCGGCCCGGGCTAGCTTTTTGGGAAGCCCGTTCCCACCGCGCTCACGGCCCGGCTGGCCTGCCAGCGGTAGTGGGAATTCCCCCGTTCCCTGGTCAAAGACTTGGTTGGATGCGGGATCTACTCCACGAGGAGCGGTACGGACGTAGATGATATCATCACGACCTCTCTTTTCGTACCGCTAGGGATGCTTAACGCCATTTCGCCAACTGGCGTTACCTGCGCTTTCGTGTCTCTCAGTGTGGTCAGCACTGGGTGTTTCCGAGCAGCGAGGCTTACACCCATTCGCATTAGTTCATCCAAAGTTCCTTACCCTTATGCACGAATTATTGAATAAGCCATCTTCCTATCAAGGGTAAGGAGTCAACTGAGCATCTCAGCGGCGGGATTGAATACCCGGATCGAATCAGAGTTCACGCCGCCCGCCCTGAACAAATAGGAGGCGTGGGCCACAGGTCGCACATAAGCCGCCGGGTCGCACGACAGAAGAACACCCAACATAAAGATGCACACTCCTCCATGTGAAATATTCATCTTCATTGGAGCTTTTTGGTAGTAGTCGTGACCAGCAGCCATCAGCTGTCGGCTCGTTGGTAAGGCGAGAGCTTCAAGCCCGATTTCTGGTGGCGCACCCACCACACAAGCACCACCCGACGAAGGGGGGACGGGGAAAGCTACAGGCCCAAAACCTTCGACCCTTCTTTCTAAATGGAGGCACCTCATCTTGTCATTTCGTCGTTGCTCATTCCCGTTAGGCCGAAGTGTTTGGCGTTTTCTTCTCCGCGCCCGCTCACGCTTCGCTGACCTATCGCGTGGTAAAGAGAAGAAAGTACGAACGAATAGTAAACGGAGCACACCACAGAAAGATTCTAAATATGAGAAGTCCCCCTTGGATTCGAGAGGAGAGAAAGCAAAATGTCCTTCGAAAAGAAGGAAATGAAAAACGGGAACGAAACTAAATGCGGCGGTTCTAGCTCTAGTTTCGGATGGGATTCTCCCAATTATGTCTTGTAATAGATGTAATAGAGTAGGGAGAGTAGGGCGGCTTTCTCTGACCAAGACTCCACTTTTTGCTCCGTCCGTGGAGCGTATGAATTTCCTGGAATGTAGATAGACCAAAAGAGGGAATGAAGGGATAGGAATAGGAATTATAGTACCATTGGAAGAAGGGGCACCTGTGGGAACATCTCTACTGACGAACCATTGAAATAGTACGGGTGCTGCCGTGCCACGAGGCACGACCATAGAAGTAATGAAAAAGAAAAAGTTATGTAGTTGGACCATCTGCTCTATCCGTTCGAGTTTCGCTTCTCTAGAGAAGATGAGACGCTCAAAATGAAAGTGTTCGCAACGCATACCGAAAAGGAATTAAGCCGACCGTTAATGACTAGAAAGAACACCAGGAGCGGTCTGATCAAATAAGGGATCTTTCCGCTCTTAGAAAGATGAAAGAAAAAAAGCAAACTCTCATAGTTCGGAGCCCAGCTCCAACTACTTCTTCGTAAGTGAGGTGAGGTACTTCTTTCGGTTTGAATAGGGGGTCGACTTGAAGTAGCCACGACTTTGGTCGTAGTCAGTTTAAACACATAAATCCAGTCCACTTGCAGCCATGCTGATCAAAATGACGAAGTTGAATTACTTTACCAGTCACTCGCCCTCGTATTAGAAGGATTCTCTCACCCTGTGGTCGACATTCCATTCCTCTTAGTCGTAGTTGTTCTATTTTGATTTGAATGGGCGGGGTCTCCCGAGGTACATACGGCCGGCCCTTCGGGTGTCTCGGTGATACAAACAAAGAAAAGACGAATGGAAATCACATCCCCTATCACTTAAAGCCAATCCTTACCAAAGTAGGAAATAGAATCGAATAATCTACCTTCTTTTTTCCTTCCCGTTGATTCCCCCCGACAATCAAGCTGCACTTCCTTCTACTTTTAACAAGTGGCTGAGAGTTAGCAAGCAACCTTGGCCTCTTGGCAGGAGGTTCGCTGTCCCCCTCCTTCCCTTCCGGCTATGGTATGGGGGAAGGGATAGCATATATACACAGAAGAGAGAGTACGGGGCCTTACCCTTAATTGAGTTTAGACGCGGCTCGAATTGACGCTATAGGCTGTGTTAAGCATGCTTCTTTGACAGAAAATCAGTGTTTTTCCACTCAAAGTTGAGTTACCATACAAACTCAATATCTATAAAAACGAAGGGGAAGAGTTTTTACTGAAGCCGAAAGCTAAAGGAATGGGAGCACCACAATCCACCCAGAGGCGGCCATCATAATCATAAAGGGTTCGTGCGACGGCGGCGGGTTCTGGATAAATCCATTCAATCTGAATCTTTTTTTTCTCTTTTCGATCTTTTTCTTCATTTTTCTCTTCCCATGGAATTACCTCTTGAAAGATTTCCAGAAACTCGAGTCTTATTTCCTCTTCTTCCGGCAGCATTTATCCTTTGAGCGGCATTGACTCTTTTTCTTTCGGTGGAACTTTTCCTTTCTAGGTTCTTCTTGTTATCCCTTTTCCAAATTATTCTTCCCTTAGGGTCGACTTTGGAAGCCGGAACATAGGAGTCATGATGATCCAGTGGGAGGGATCTTCCTCACAAAGCCAGAGATCGCATTAATAGCATTAATTGTAGTGATGGTAGGGAGATGTTGGGAGCCGCAGGCTTCCTCGGCCCAGCATGTTGAGCCCGGAGCGTGACTAGGGAGCGAGCTCTTAAAAACTCCCATTTTCTCGTTGGGGTTCTTAGGAGCTTCCTGTTCATCCGCCACGTTGATTTTCTTCTATGAAATCTTGTATTTTTTGCTTTAAAAAGTCCAGCTTTTGCATCCGTCGCATGACCCGAGCCCCAACCCCCTATTTGAGTTGAGTAAGGCTGGAAGGAATTGGCAGAATTAGGTTAGGTTCCAATGAGGGGGACCAGGTCAAGCAGACGACGACTGACAGGGAGGGGACTAGTCTATGCTCCAGAAATGGAGGCAGAATTTGGATTAGCGATAATGCAAGCAGGGTGTGAATTCTCGTCGAGGGCACTCGCCTTGCTTATCTGTTCTCTGAAGTTCCCTGGTTGTGACCTTCCCGATAGAAGATACACGGATACCTACTCCGACTCACACGTATTGGAAGAGGATTCATATGTCACATCATTCTCACTTCGTTTCGCCTATGATCAATGAAGGTTAAGGATGACGAGTTGACTACTTGGCTCGTATGCGCTTGAACGAGAGGAGTGAGCCTACGATCGTCCAGAATCAAAAAAATAAGAGTTTGGAGCATTAAATAGCTTGTATCCATAGAACATCTGACGTGACATAGATAATGAATAAATAGGAGTTAATATCATCCCAATTGCCATTACAAAAGTAATTAGTATTTTTGTCATTAAAAGAGACTTTTGGCTGGTAATTATTCCAAAAAATACTATCAATTCTGCAACAAAACCACTCATGCCCGGTAATGCAAGAGAAGCCATCGAAAAGCTACTGAACATTGTGAATATTTTTGGCATTAGGATAGCTATTCCGCCCATTTCGTCGAGATAAGCAAGACGTATTCTATCATAACTCGTTCCTGCCAAGAAAAAAAGCGCGGCACCAATAAATCCATGAGAGATTATTTGTAAAATGGCTCCATTGAGTCCCGTATCGGTTATAGAGCCTATTCCTATAATTATGAAACCCATATGAGATACAGAAGAATAGGCTATTCTTTTTTTTAAATTACGTTGGCCAAGGGATGTTGAAGCTGCGTAGATTATTTGCGTTGTACCTACTATGATAAACCAAGGAGAAAATATAGAATGAGCGTGCGGTAATAATTCCATATTGATCCGAACCAATCCATATGCTCCCATTTTTAATAAGATTCCAGCTAGAAGCATACAGGTACTGTAATGTGCTTCTCCATGGGTATCTGGTAACCATGTATGTAGGGGTATAATCGGTGATTTGACAGCAAACGCAATAAAAAACCCAATATAGAATATTATTTCCAATACCACAGGATACGATTGATTAGCCGATGTTTCAAAATTTAATGTTGGTTCATTAGAACCATATAAACCGACACCCAGAACTCCCATTAAGAGAAAAATGGAACCCCCCGCAGTGTACAAAATAAATTTTGTAGCTGAATAGAGACGCTTTTTTCCTCCCCACATGGATAAAAGTAGATAAACGGGAATTAATTCTAACTCCCACATGATAAAAAAAAGCAAAAGGTCCCGAGAAGAAAATGATCCTATTTGACCGCTGTACATTGCTAACATCAGGAAATGGAATAATCGAGAATCCCGAGTAACTGGCCAAGCCGCTAAAGTAGCTAAAGTAGTAATGAATCCTGTCAGTAAAATGGGTCCTATAGAAAGTCCATCTATTCCCAATCGCCAGTGGAAATCAAAAAAATCGATCCATTTATAATCCTCCACTAGTTGGATTAATGGATCGTCTGATTGGAAATGATAACAGAATGCATAGGTTGTTAGAAGGAGCTCTAATATACATATACAAATAGTATACCACTTAATTACCCTATTTCCTCTATGGGGAAGAAAGAAAATTAAAGAACCCGCGGCTATTGGCAAAACTACAATTATTGTTAACCAAGGAAAATCATTCGTGGTAATGACAAGATACATTTGGACCAGAAAAACCCGTACTCAAAATATTTTATTTTCGAGTACGGGTTTTTGTCGGTAAAAAAAAATCAAATGGATTCAAGTGGAGTTTTATGGAACGTATCAATAAGCTAGACCCATGCTGCGAGTTGTTTCATGCCATAAATAAACTCGAACACTCAAGAAATCCGTTGGACAAGCGGATTCACATCTCTTACAACCGACACAGTCTTCTGTTCTTGGAGCAGAAGCAATTTGCTTCGCTTTACATCCGTCCCAAGGTATCATTTCTAATACATCTGTGGGGCAAGCTCGGACACATTGAGTACACCCGATACATGTATCATAAATCTTTACTGAATGTGACATGGGATCTATACATTTTTGAACATCACAAAATTTCGATCTAGTAAACTTATAAACGAATCATATATTTCGATACCAGACGAATCAATGATTTATCAGAATTTTTTTAATTAGTTTACTTCTGGATTGACTTATGAAAGAGAACACCAAGATACTTTAATTTCCTACCTTTTTGCAAGCACGATTATATCTTACGTAGCAGACATGCTAAATTAATCAACGATTATTAGAATTTATATAATTAATACTACCTTTACTTATTCAACAAATTCGATTGGTTGATACGAGTTGATTTTCGATTACGATAAATTGACGAAACAATAGCCAGTCCAATAGCTGCTTCAGCGGCTGCAATAGCTATAACAAAAATTGCAAAAATGGTTCCTTTTAATTGACTCCTATCGGTTGCTAACTCTCCCCTCCCTCCTAACTAGTCTTCCCCCATCATGTCATCTCTTGTAACTTGGTCCTTAGCAGCACTTATTACCGCGAGCAGGCCTATGAATTCAGTACTGTACCCGGTTTACCAACCCTCTAGCTTCTGACTCTTTAGAAGGCTCATTTCTTTCGCTTTAGCTCATGTTCTCGGACCTTGTTGATGGGATGGACTATCTATAGATCAATCGGAGGGGGTTCACCTTTTCCTGTTGCCTTGCTTCTGAGTCTGATAGCGTGAATCTTGGATGTGCTTTGCAACGGAGTGGCGAGGGAAGAAGGAGGCTTTTGAACCTGGAATTGACTATTAGCACTACGACCGGGGAGACTCCTATGTCATTGACCGGGAGCTTCTGAGCCTGGAAATGTCATATGTGGAAGCCCGCGAGGGAGATGAAAAGGTTACAGAAGCTGCATACCCTTAAGAAACTCGGGTTACCCCAGTTATGTATCAAGGAGAGTTTGAATCCTTTGGTGCAGTTGATGGATTTTCCCTAAGAGGTGGGAACTCCCCTACCAGTATTCGTTTCTAGCCGAGAGAAAGCTCGAAAAAGACTGTAAATCTGAGCTTGGATCTGAACGAGAGAGACATGCGTCACACAGTCGTGTTGAACATTGTGAAGAAGCCCAAAAGAAGGGAAATTCACTCATTTCGGTGCTCTATTTGGCTACGAATCTTGCTATGAGAACTCAGGTCCTCGCTCCGAGAAAATACACATATTGAAAAAGGGAAGCTCGAAGAGCTTTCCACCCCACCCCTTTCCAACCAAAGAAGGAGATCGAAGAGATTAGATTTCAGAATCTCCCGCCAAAGTCTTTCTTATTTCCTGTCTCTGGGCTGGCTTGGATAAAGCCTACAATGGAATTGGTGCGCCTCAGTATGATGGTGCTGTCTCAGTTCATTGGGCCGGGTATAACAATTGCTTCTGTCTCAACTTTCTTGTACCACAATACAGATCACTAAGAAAACACTTTGAGGAGCGGGAGAAAGCCGCTTAGATAGGATGATAGCCTGGTTTTTATTGAATATCCTTGATCCTCACGTTGTTATATGAATTATGAAAAGAAGCATTCCCGCACCGAAAGCCTTGTGTCAGTGGTTCCCCTATACTAAGCTTCTGTACTAGACCTTACTTTCTGCAGCCTTTGGCTTACGTTCCCAAGCTCGGGATCGCAAGCCAAGGATAATGGAGCTCCTTGATAGACTTTCACGCCAATTCATTTAGTCAACCTTGGACGAGCTTTTGTTAAGGGATGCACGCCAGGAAGTCAACTCTACGCTTTTGCCAGCATCTTCGTCGTTGTCGTCGGCTTCCTTAATAAGTACCTATTCGTTCCTAGATCATTACCTCAGGGGCTAGAGCTTACTTCCCTGAAAAGAAGGAAAGCGAGCAAGCGTTATCAATACGAATGAGTAATATGACGACTACCTTTCATTAATAAGCGAGTCAGAATGGCTTCTTTCTTGTGCCGGGCTTGAATGCTTACAATGAGCTTCTTTCTGGCCATAGACGGAATTCTCTCTGTTTATTACATCCCGCCAACTTCACCATTAATAACCACTGCTGTGCTTACAATGTCAATATCAAGCCTTGGCCCTTTAGGCCTCGTGTTCCACAGTCGAATTTTGGGATCCGGGTGTAGTAGGCCAAAGTGTTTATCCCATCCCCCATTTGCTAGTCGCAGACGGCGCGCTTTGCTCTTCTGTTGCTTCTAAATGAAGATTTCATGAATCACTTCCTGACAATCTCTTTGCCGAGGTTAGGATGCTTCGCTCAGGAATTGATTGTGAAAAAAGGTTATTGAACAAAGGCTTCGATCGCTAAACTTTCATTTCAACATAGCCGCATACATAAGGAAAGTGAGAGCAAAGTCTACATGCTTTCACTCCCTACCAGTTCTTCATTCTAAATGATTCAGTTTCGGAATGTCATGAAAGATCCAAGGAGAAGTAAGGCGCAGATCTTCTTACCCGAGAGCTAGATAGTACCGAACCTCGCCTAAAGAAGGGTCGAACCTCGTAATCTGACTGACCTTCTGTCACTTACCTTATAGCCACATCATGCACTTCCTTTGAAACCGATGAGAATGGAAGAATAGGGGATGGGTTCAGGGAGCAAATGAATAGCTTTACGGATGTGTGGTAGCTCGAGACAAAGAAGCACCGGGGAAACTAGGTAGCCTGTATATATATTACCAACTGAGAGAGAGCTCGCAACCATGGATATGATAGAGAAGAACAGGAATAGCTCATCCATCTGCTAACCCTATTTATTATGTATGTGGATTCATGGAACAACGGAATATCAGTCAGAAAAGGGGATTCTTTCACTAAACGGTAGGCGAAAAGAGTCTTTTTCTTGTACGGGAAATCCACTAAAGGTTTCGTCTTTGGTTCGTTTTTGAGTGAGAAGTGTTTACAGGGATGGCAATCAAGCCCAGTTTCGGTACGGGCCTGCCCCACTTCTTTGGCACACATAGGCCATCGGTGAATCTCTTCCATAGGATCCATCTGCCCATTTGCCTTGCTCTTTTTGAGCCACACGCTCCCCGGCACGCGGTATGGTAGGCCCGGGTCAGATGATAGTATCTCGTCTCGAACATTTGCTTGGCTGGTAGAGCTGTATGGCCGGTCTTAAGAAAACATCTTCTTCCATCGGTAAACCGCTTCCTATATTGGTTTTGTAATGAAAAGTAGAAGGTGTTTTGCCACGTTCAGGATCCTTGAAATGAACCTGGGGGCTGAACAAGTTCTTCAGCCTATATTCTTTATGGTCTACGGGTCGGGGGACAGAGAGAGCAGACAGTCCAGATTCTATGGTCATTGAATGAGAGTTTCTGAGATTAGGCTCTTTTACAACTGACTCAAAGGTTGAAAAAGAAAGCAAGTCCACCAATAAAGAAGTTACCAAGCAAGCCTTTTGAATGAGAAAATGGCGAGAAAGGCAAGATAAGGGCGGGTCAAATAAAGGAAAGACACTTTGCTGAGGAACGACTATTTTTACTCTTCTAATTGAACGATTGAGAATCCTCGAGAACCTAAACGAAAATGAAGAAGTGAGCCCAAGTCTCCCCTCTCTCCCCCTTTTTTAGCCAACACCATCAACCCCATTTTGAACCAACCATTGGTCAAAGAAAAAAAAGATGATGAATAGAAGGAAAGGAGATCAGAAAGATAGGCGGACGTTTATAGTATAGGTCGGATGTTTTCGTGAGCAGTAAGCAGCAGATTCCCCTTTCTTTTTGGAAAGCGGGTGGCCGCGTGTGAATTCTTTCAAGGCAAGGGGCGGCCTGATTCGACATTGTTGTTGACTCTGATCCGGTCGGAGGTGGTTTTAGTTTACCAGCGCGTAGGTGGTCTAAGTTCCTATGACCGAGTCTTTCTGGCCCCTGTGAACATCTTTTCTTAATGTATTAAAGAGGGCCTCTCTAACCGGTGAAAAGTGGTGGGTGTCCACTAACGGCCATTCCTGGCTCGACTCCGATAACGCAATTCCGGGAGGAGTCGGTAGTTGGGCACTGGATCCCTTCGGACCTGGAGAACGTGTGACGCTGGGTCGGGGTTTGGTGAACCAACTGGTCGCTCCTCTAGTTGAAGTATCGGGCCCCTTTTTCGTTGCCTAGGTTACACCTTCGGAATACCCCATAAGGAAAGCTTAAGCTTCCCTCAATCTTCACTTTACGCCACGCCGACTCCCCCTTCGTCATAAGGCGTGGAATTAGACCAAGGGGAATCTCCATAGGAACTAGTCCCTTAGATTTCGCACATAGGAGATCGAGACATAGCCCCACCCAGGGCTATGGGGAAAGATGTAGATCGATCGCCCTAGATAGACAACTACATAGAGGGGGTCTCTACAAGTCTATATATTCTTTGATTTCGTTCCCCCCCGTAAGATCACAATAGAACAACCAATGAGGTCTGCAAGGTTCACATCTAAGTAATACCCGATCCAATAGTTTACGATATAGATAGATATATATTTAACAAAACTACATTCGAAAATCAGATATTAATAGATATCGGTAGTTGTCCGGTCGTACCCAAACAATAATATTCCAGAGGGAAATGCACCTAAGATCAAATATTTCGAGCCGGCTTCCGTGGAAAATTCAGACTTTCTTTTTGATGCTGCGATCACATAAAAACATAAACTTTGAGGCTCAATAGCTAAATACATGGCAACTGAATCATGAGCCGAGATCATAAAGAGCATACTGCGAGTAGGAAGTGGAATTAATACAATGGATTCAGAAGCATCAAACCTCTCTTGTTCGGAAAAATCGAAACACATCGAAATGGTACCAGCCGTACTTAATAATAGAAGGATTTGGCAGAAATATGTAAAATTATCCCTCCTAAAAAGATTATTCCAGAATAAATGGGCAATAGTTAGGAGAGGTGCGCCGGCGGCGAGCAGAAGCAAGGTTATTAGATACCTCAGGAAAGCCCGGCCAGAACCACACGGGCAAGTTTCCCTGCATGTGGCTCGTCCGTGATAACTTCTTCGGATTTGCGTGAACTAGCGGACCGATCACTAAGTGGGGATGCTCCCTCCAGCATGAGCGAACCTTTTCGGAACTGGTTAGGAGCGGGTGCCACTATCCCAGCCCGGATCCAGCCAGGTTCTATTGATCATGTCCCCTTCCCAACAGTTGTACCCTGTCTTGGGGCGTCTTTGGCTTTACGAGAGAAAGCCCGCCGGAGAGAAAAGTGTTTCTCTTCCCGGCCCCGGTCATACGTAGGTGCGTCCACAGAAGAGAAAAGAGCAATGCATCTTGCTCAGCAGGCCTAGCTTGGAGTGGGAGTGTCTAGGGGGGTAAGGTAAGGAAAGTGGCCGCCAGAGAGGAAGCCAAACCGGCCTATTAAGCGCAGCTAAGCTAATATGCGCCGTAGGTAAGCTCTATTCGGCCCGGAGCATTGATTCCCCATAACGAATAGGCTAGCTCTATCTCTCAATTACCTATCCTGTGCTCGAGAAGGTCCCTCAGTTCCTCCCTCGGCCGCGAGATTGAGTTGTCTTACACGAGACTCGGGATATTCCCCACTCCATGGCATGGCACCTTTAGCTCATCCATTCCGCCCGCCCCGTCCAGACTAGGCGCCCTTTTCTCATTATCATCTACCGCCCTTTCTTTCCTCCCGGCTATTCACGCATGAAGATCGTCGTATGTATGCTCGACTTCGGTTGCCGGTGCTATAGGTAGGAATTATGGCAGGATCAGTCACCCGGGCAAACCAACCCTCCTCCAAGAAGAATTGTGCTATGCCCTCCTTCCGATCCCTATAGAGCGAAAGAGCTGCCTGGTGATCCCTAGGTTGCAGCACGTCCGGTCGTTAACTCCTCGCGCCGCTGCCGCCGTTTCTAGGACCGACCGACGCCTCACCTGCACAGGTACCTACGTAGTGTAGTGTCGGTCGCACATTCAACATAGCGTTCGGACTCATGTGCCTTCCAGAACCAGGGGTCTTCGAGCCTGCTGCGTACGATTAGCCAGCCTTGCGGCGGCAAAAGGATTAGGCGTCCCCCCATGCTACGGTTCCCTGCGGTCCGAACCCGGTGCCGCATTAGGTTAGGGAGCTGGGCGATAATAGCTCCTCCGCATCCCAAAGCGAGCTGCCCTCCTAGGCGCGCAACACTAAGTAATCCAAGCCAACCCACATTACTGACTAACGGTGGATAATCATTTTTCTTAGAGGTACTAAATACAACTCCATGAATGAGCAAAATAGAGGTTGCATTAATGAGAAAGATTTCTGGGGAAACCGCTAAAAAAAGATTGAACATGTGGGAGAGGATACGAACGAATTCTGCTTTCATTTCCCCCGTATGGAGCACTGAGTTACTTATGTGATGGTCTTCGGCAGGCAGGCTTCTAGGCGGCTAGGATAGTCAGGCTCGCTAGACCAGCAGCCAGACCAACAATGAATGTGTGGTGATTCCACACCAGGTTCCATAAAATAATGGAATGTAGAAAGGGGATGCTAAACAAAAAAGGAGTCCATGAATCAAAAATAGAAAGAATTCCAAACCCTTTCTTCTCCTATAGAAGAGAATTCCATGAAAGATGGATTTGATAGAGTCAAGGGAGAAGTAAGCGGTGGCTGAGAAATAGGAAGATAAGAACCACAGAACAGAGGTGAGTCTTATGGGTCGATCGTCGACCGTCGGAATTCCTCGTCAGTGAAGTACGAATAGAATTCTTTGTAGATGGAGGCGGTAGCCCCCCTTTGTTCGATATCTCGAATCACGTGGTTTAGGCTACCTGTAAATATATTTCGTTCAAAACTTTCTCGGATTGAGCTTACGGGTCGAATCTTTGCTTCGAGAAATTCGAAGGCTTCTTGTCGAATATCACCGTAAAGCGCAACATTCAGAATTTCCCCGATTTGGGGTTCCAGCATTAGCGTTGAGAATCAAAGATCTTTACAAGATCGTTTTTTAGTTCCATCATATGGACTTGGAATATCTCGTTTTGGAGAGTGCGAGAGTAGTGGTTCGCATTCACAACACTCCCCAAAGTTTCGCGTACCAGTCATATTCGCCTGGGTTGAGCTGTGGTGGTAGCCCAGGGGCGAGTTGGGGGCTTCCAGAGCCCATATATCGGAAAAGAGTTTTCTGTGTCCGCGCTTTGTGCGCGAATGTTTGATAAGGCGGCTTACGCCGGAGATAAAGGTTCCGGCTCGAGAAGCACGTTAATGCCAAATGAGTCCTCGGTCTAGCTTGAGCTTGATTCCAAGGACTCCACAGAAAAAATGAAACCAGAATCAAAGGTCTGGAAATAACAGCAGCCCATGAACCATTGTAAGTACGTAATAATATAAGATGGATATTATCCATCTTACGAAGGGTCTTACCAATAAAGTCATAATATTCAGAAGATTGGCTTTCTTCATGAGACTTTTTAATTTCCAGTATCTATAAATGAGAGCACTGTGAGCTATATCCGCTTCAACAAGGATAGTAGTCAGAATGAAAAAGGTTATCTTCTTTCTTCGATCGGAATACGGATGAGATCAAAAAGCCATCATTGGGGCAAACGATGCAATAGCTTCGGTTAAAGCAAAGCCCAAAATGGCATAACCAAATAATTTGGTTTAGCTAATGATGACTTTCTAGTCACGGAATGAATCGACGAGGAACGAAGTCCGTTTCCAATACCGACAGCAGCTCTCCCGCTGAAGCAATTGTAGCAGCGGAGACGAGACTCTCCTTTAGGTGCTTCAACTGAGGGATAGGTAGAAGGCTTATTTAAGATGTCATTACTAAACCAATCTCTCATTCATATTTGGTAGTAATGGCTGGCTCCCCCTTTCAGTGGAAGGTCCCGTAATATTGACAGGTGTTCTTCTAGTGTTTCGTCATCAAAATGAAGAAAAAGCATATTCGTCATCCAACGGAAGTGCTTTTTCTTTTCGACCGTTGGACCTTTTTTTCTCAGCCTCCTCACTAAACACAAGAAAGAGATAGCTCCATCTCTCGATATTTTGATTGACTATTTGAAGTGACTCGACCG